TAAATATGGAAAATTAGCCTCTGAAATGTTCAAGGGAACCAGACATACAAAATACAAGAATGATGTGTTTGTGTCTGGCAATAATGCTACTATAATTTAAAAATTTACCTTTATGCTTTACAGTTACTATAACAATGAAAGATTAATAATCAATAGGATTATTACAATTACAAAGACAAATAGGATTACTTCACTAATTTGAGGCCATGGAAATTAAATCTACAACATAGCCTGTGAGCTATGACACTACTAAAGCTTTCTGTAAATAGTGAGTAAAGTGGTAGGATGCCTTCATACAGAAAACAAGACCTTATCAAAAGTGAGTTTTTGTTTCTACTGACAGAAGGCTCAGCTTCAAAGACAATTGTTGCTGGGAAGGATGACATGAAAAGTAGAGAATCTAACCTAGTTTCTAGATTCTCTTCATTTATCTTTTGGTCTTGGTCTTCTCAGAGAACCAGGAATGGGACCTGCATTTCCCTTGTAGCCTGGTGCATACTTATAGATGTCACTAGCTATAAGTAAATATGTCTGTCTTTGTGATCTACAGGAGCCTTGTTCTTGACTTCTGGGTTGAGGAATTGATGGATAAAGCAGAGAACTTGATGCCGTGATCCTGTGGTAGACATATAGCCATCACCACAAAGAGTCTTGTGTATTCCACATCAAGCTGCCCTCTAACTAAGCTTGTTGCACAAATCCTGACCAAATTTGGCCTTTTTAGAAAAAGATCTTGAAAAGTCTCCTGCAAACAAATAACCTTTATTCCTTCCTTGAAAACTCTGATATTTAACCCTCCCTCCTAGAGATCCAAGATGGAATGAGACCTCCACCCATGATTTTACAAATCATCTATGCTCTCAAGTCCACCCAGGAAAGATTTGTCTTGAAATCAAAATACCTTTCTCTTTATTTCAAATCTACTGGGTCCAGCTAATTGGTGAAGCAAACAGATACATTCTCATGGTGGCACATAGCAGCGGGTTCCTAGGCTAGTCTCTCAACAAACACCCCTTGACCATCCCATACTGCAATGGTCTACCTTTAGAAGGTCCAAGAGAACATTGCTTTCATTTAGCCCTAAACTTAAACTGGCAACTAATGATGCAAACATATTCTATTTACTGAACCGGATTACAAATTCATTAAATTAAGAGCCATGCCAGGTACTTCTTTTTATCTCCTAGCTCATCATATAATTCCTTAAACATGGTGGTGACTCACATTCTTATTGACTAATTTATTGACAAGGTTGTTTTTCTAGTGAGTTTCATAACTTCAGTAGGAGTCTACATAGATGATTTTTGTCGATACCAGAAGAGTTTTAAAGAAATAGTTAATAATGATTTAAAAAGAATTAATGACAGAGAATTTAAAAAGAATTAATTTAAAAAGAATTAATGATAGAGACAGCTCATGCAATAGAAAGGAATAAAAACTGTTCTACGTAAGTCTGAAAAAACTGAATTTAAATTCTTCTCTAAAAATTAATTAGCTAAATGTTGAATAAGACACTTCACTGCAGGTCATGGTATTATTATAAATAAAACTTAGGCTTGAAATAGGGAATCTCCCTATGCTTTTGAAAGAGAAAAAGACAAGGAATAGAACACAGGTTGAAGTTTATTAAGGGCTTGCTCTATTTAAAAAAAAAAAAAAGAAAGAAAGAAAAGTGGGCCCATAAAGAGTCCATCCAATTGAAGAAGCAAAATAATTCACTCAAACAGAAAAAATAGTTCATTTGAATATATTTTTTTAAATACATTGCTAGAGTTGGTAGCTAGTATTTTATTGAGGATTTTACACATCTATGTTTCCAAATGAAAGTGGTCTATAATTTTCTTTTCCTGTCCTTATTGAGTTTTGGAATCCATGCTGAATTATCTTCCTAAAGTGAGTTGCATTTAATACATTTATATGTTCTAAACAATTTCTGAAATTTATCAATATCTCTTTCTTCCAAACAAGCCAATTTCCTTAGTATAACCTCATATTTTCTCTCCATTTGTTCTCCTATGACACAAACACCATGTTGGTACATTCTAGAATTTTAGATTTGTGTTGCTCTATATGTTTTTTCAATTGACTGATTGAGGATTGAATCTAGGGCCTTCACACTGGGCTACATACCCAGTCCTTTCCTTATGTGTTGTTTTTTTCAAGACAGCATCTCGCTAAGTCACAATGTTGCCGTATCTAGATTTGAATTTAAGATCCTTCTGCTTTAGCGTCTCTCAGAGCTGGGATTACTCACCACTGTGCCTGGCTCTCTCTTTTATTTTTAATTTTTGTTAGTACATGTTTGTAGTACATAATGATTACACTCATCATGGGGAGCTAGTGGATGCACATAACACATCTTATTAATATTTTTTACCTCCCATGCCCCTCCCTTCCCATCCTCTCTTTTTTAATGCTTGTGTATTTGAACAACAATGATATTGTCTGACTTTTTACTTACTTCCTGTATCAAATATATATTTTGATAATTTATTTTTCTTCTTGGAATACTTATTCTAAATGTGTTTTGAAGAATGTGTCCTTGTCAATGTTTCTGTTTTATTCTTGAGCTCAAAAAATTAACTAGATAGAACATTCTGTATTCAATATTTTTTTCTTTAGTATCTTGAAAATATTACTTTATGTGACCAGGTTCGCTGCTGAAAAGTTCAAAGCTCTTCTGATTATTTTCTTATATGTGACAGCTTTTACTCTTTGAAAGCTTTGAGACTTTTCTCTTTATTTTTCAATAGCCACACATTCTATTATACTGTTCCCCACTGATGGCATTTGTCTTGTTCATTTGTTGTGGGCATTTTATGAGTCTTTTAAAACTGTTCTTATTTTTTTTTTCTTTTTGTAAATTCTGGAAAAGTCTCACAGTTATCTCTTCAATTTTTTCCTCCCCTAAATAATTTTTCCTTTCCATCTGAGATTCCAATTAAATAATTGACTCCTATTTTTTAATGTTCCTTTTATTCTTACCAACTATTTGTGCCTATTATCTTTTATAGATTGCCTTGTCTTGGTACTAAACGTTTCTAATTTGTTTTTTGCATCCATTCTTCTATCAATCCTTATTTCATTCATTTCATTTGTTTTGATGTTTTGTATCCAGTTGATTTTCTTCTTTTCAATGGACGGCGGTATTGCTTCCTGTTCCCAATATTTTCCCCTGACAATTTTAGTGTATTTGTTAAGCTAATTCTAAATGATTATTCTATCTGATCAGAATGTTTAGACCCTTCAGGGATCTTTCCTTGCTTTTCGTGAGCTCGTACTTCCCTGAAGTCATATATGACCTTATCTGTGAAAGCAACGTTGGGAAAAGGAAAACCCAGGGGCTGGCAAGTCTACCTTTTTTTTTTTTTTTTTTGTAACCTGCTCCTCACTCCAGCTGGGCTCCAGTACTGCCCTGCACTTGGCAGACTGCTTCCTGCTACCTCTCAGCTGATTTTGCTCTTTTCCTGCCTCTCAGTGTCTCTGGTACAGCAATGGAGCCACAGTAATGTAGAAAACAGAACAAGGCACAGCTTGAAAGCTCTCTTCAAACTTGTACTAAACCCTCTGATGGAGGCTACTTCCCAGGCCTTTTGCCTCCAATTCCAAACAGGTACCTAACCACCTTCTACCTCTCTAGGAATTCCCACTCAGTTTTCTTTCACTTTTTGATACCCATCAACCTCCCTCTCTTACTTCTGAGGTAACTTCAAGGTAGGGTTTGAGGAAAGAATTCAGCTGCCATGTTTGGGTGCCATCTTGGACAATTCATCAGCTGCTATCAAAGGGTCACAAGGGTTCCTAGAAAGTATGTGAAGAAGGAAGTCATAGAAACCTCTGAGGAAGCCCAGAACTGCAAAGAACATCATCTGAAAAATGACCACCTAAACATTGTGTGACACATTTTATTTTAGCTTTCCTTGTTAATAATTTACTATATACCTTAAAAACCTCATTTCTTTTCTTACTGAATGTAGCACTTTTAAAAAATATTTTGTAGAAAAGAAAAACATAAATTGATAGTTCCTAGATTTATTTGCCCTCTTTATTTTTCTGTCCATAAAATCCAATCCATTTTAGGCAGATCTCAATCTTAGACATTACTGAAAGAGTGTTAGGGGTTTAGAGCCTGTAAATATCTTTAGGAGAGCAAACTACATAATGTATACCTCATGCCTAATAAAGAAATACTATATAAATGTCAGCATCAAACCCAAGGTCTGGCCTGTAAGGGCCATATTAATGCTAAAGTGAAAACTGTCCATTAATTCAATCATCTGTCAACTCATCAATCAATATAATCACTCATCCATCCATTTCTCTAACCCCCCAACCATCCATCAGATATATCAGATATTTCCTGGCATCTATGCCAAAGTGCATTAAGAACTTGTGCTTTGACTTGCCTATACCTGTGTCCTCTTGAAAGTAAGCACAATAAGTCCAAAGCAGATAGTCAAAATATATGTGGAGGTCAAAGACCTTGTTCTTAAACTCATAAGTGTAAGTTCTCTGGTGGACAAATTATTCCTGAATGTTCTACTGCAGTTGCCAAGATAAACATCGTAATGGAGAGCTTCCTCACAGACAATTTATATTTCTACAGGTTAAGCTTAATTGTATTTTGTGGGCTTTTATTTGTTTGTTGGTTTGGATGTTTGTTTGTTTATTTGTTTGACAGTGCTGAGATTACGTGTGTGTGTGCCACCACACTTAGCTCCTGTGGACTTCTGGGGGCTTGTTGTTGTTGTTGTTGTCTTGGGGGGAAAGGTACTGGGAATTGAACACAGAGCCTTCACATCAACTATACTCCTACCTCATTTTCATATTTTAGTTTGAGGCAAAGTTTCTCTACATTGCAAAATTGTCCAAGCTGGGATTGAAGTTGTGATCCTCCTGCATCAGCCTCCCGGAGTGCTAGGATTGCCCCTGCACCACCACACCTGGCTGTGGGCTTCTTGAAAGAGAACCCTGCAGGGTCCATAATACAAAGAATAAACTTTACATTTTAAGACACAAGGATAATTTATTAGGTGTGTTCTATAAGTTGAGAAGGGGAAATTTTGGCAAATAAATAAATAAATAAATAATCAAACTGAGACTTTGGGGCACAGAAGAGCTCAGGAAGAGGAAGTGGAGTCCTTGCATAGTTCTAAATGAACAGAAGGTGGCAGCAGTAGGCAACACGCATTCTCAGCAGAAACGCAGCACTTTGCAAAAACCAGGGACAGAAGGCTTTGAGAAAGAGAAGGTCAGGCGACTACTGTGGTGTGGAACATTCATCCTCTCTACCGGGGGCAGGATGTAGCGTCTCACATGATCTGTCTGGGCATCCCATACCCGGTCATGCCCGCCTGCGAGGCTCCCTTGTTGCTGCCCATCTGCAGCCCTATTACGTTCTGTCCCTGGCGAAGCTGCTCTTCTGAAAATCCTCTCCGATTCTGCTGGGCTTTCCTGGATGGGGAGAGTAAGATGGAAATGTCACATACCAGTTTTCAAGCTCTTCTCAAGCTGTACCAGATAGGCTGTACCTTGGCTCACCAAATAGACCAACAGGCCCTACCCTGAACTATGGCCCATCTTGAATTATGACCTTACCTTGACCTATGGTCCTATCCTGAGCTATGACCCTCTCTTGAACTATTGTAAATCCTTAACTATGGCCCTGCACTAAGCAGGCCCTACAGTGATGCATGAGCTCACTATCTCTGGAAACCCAGATGTTTTTCAGCATTTCCAGCAAAGAAGAAAGGAGGATCCATGATGGCCTCTTTGGGGGCTCCCACTCAACTTCCTCTCTTTTTCCCTTCTCCAGACTTTTTTTCTCCTGCCAACACTTTAGGTCATCTCAGTCTGCATCTTCTTAACCTCTGTCTCACAGTTACCTCAAGCCCTTGTGAGAATTAAAGTCATCTTACAAAGCATGCCATTGACGCCACCCCATATTTCTTGTACAGGGTCAAGGATCCGTGTTCCATTTTAGAGCTGAGGGACCTTGGGGTTAATGAGGGAAATTTTATTTTATAAATCAGAGGTCAGCAAGTTGGTAAAGAGCCAACAGTTAAAAAGTTTGGACCTGAAGGCACATAGGCCATGGTAGATCAGAATGCTGGGACAAAAACTAGGGTTTCAACATGTCAATACCTAAAAGGTTTTCAGGCCATTGTCATTTCAAATGATACAAACTGGTATCTTCATGTAACTCTCAAGGACAAGGAAAGGTGATCCAGGAAATGAATCACCAATTATCTGCAACAAAGTGTTCCTTTCTCTTCATCTACAACCAAGCTATCCATTTGAACTTCCCGCTTTTCCTGTAGGCCCCCCTCAGTCACTTTAGTATGACAAAGTGCTAAAAGACCTTTTTAGCAAACTGAGATGACCATATAATTTATGATTCAGATAAGGACACTCTTGAAAGTAAAGGAAGGTATTATTAATTGTATGCTGAAAATGGGACTGGGCCTGGCAAACAGGACATATTTAACCTTCATTAAGTACAAAAGAATTTTATTTATTTTTTTGGTTTTTTGGTACTGGGGATGGAACTCGGGACCTTGCACTTTCGAGGCAGGCGGCAGAACCACTGAGCTAAATCCCCGGCAGACAAAAAAATTTTTCAAAGGAAAGGAAGGTGGTAGGTAGAGAGGGAAGGGAGAGAGAAGACTCAGGGCTGCTTGGGTCATAATAAAATCAAGTTCAGACACTGAGTCATTGAGTACTTCAGAGAAAAGCCATATTTCTTGCTGAGCCTCTGAGGAGGACCTGGACAGAGCAGGAGGATCCAGCTCTTAGATAAAAGGAAATGGCCAACAACTTGTAGCCTGGGTAGAGTGTGGCCTGGATGGCCACATCAGATTTTCCTTGCTATAGGTGACTCAGTTGTGGGCCAGGAATGCGTGCTCCTCAGAGCTCCGTATGTAACAGTCTCTGGGAGACTCCCAAGCTTCACACCGTCTCTCTGGCTCTCTGCCTCAGGACGCAGGAAAGGGATGTTTTTACCTGTGGAACCAGGATGGCTCTCCCCGGTAACAGCCGTCATCCTTAGTGACTGCAACGCTGCCTAGAGCCATCAGGGTCCTCTGCACAGCTGCCATATCCTTCCCTGGAAACCAGTCAAGAGATGAAAGCCAATTGGGTATCAGACCACGGAATTCTGGAAGGATGTGGCTGGACGCTCAGGAGGGAATTTGTGATGGGAGTTTGTGGATGATCACATTCAAGGGGGAAATGCTAACAAACTCTTCCCAGAGAGGCCCTAAGATGACCAGACACAGATTGCTCAAAAAAGGACAAAATGTAGCCTTGTTAGTTATTCTCTATCAGAGTTACCTTTCTAGTCTGTTCATAGTGTCCATACAAATAAGCATTCAAAATACACGCAGCTCAGATACAGACTGGCCCCTGCCTACACAGAGGACACTGACTTGGTGGAATCTGCCAGCTGGGTAAAGGTGAGGTCCTCAGAGGGGTGGGCCTGATGGTGTGCAGACCAGTATCCTCCAGAACATGAAATGCAAAGAGAAAAGGAAACTGGAAAGAAATTGGTTGGATGGAATATTTCTGCGCCAAACCCCAGGTGGCTCCTCTCTCTCACTTTCTATGGGTTAAAAGGGTCTAAAATCACCCAAGTTCATCAAATTGAGTATTCACTTGGCTCCTTGAGCCAGAAGCCTGGCAAGTGAAGAGTAGCAAATCAACATAAAATACATCAATGCGACACAATTGAAAGGTTCTTTATCTTGTGCAGCATGAAAGGAGCTAAACAGAGACAATAAATCACTGGCTTGTGTGAGAGAGAGAACAGCAAAGAGAGATGTGAGACTCAGCCCTGCACAAGGAGGGGCTGTGCTGTCACCAGACAAAGTGCACAGAGAATACAGATGTGCCCTAAAGTCAGCCTGCCCCTCTCATCCTTGCTCCTTTCCACCTTTCCAGGTGATGAGCATGTGCTAAACTGGGAGGGAAAGATGCTACTGTGCATGTAGCCTGAATCTAAAAACAGATCAGAAGTCTGTGCAAGCGGAATGTGCAGAGTGCAATGCAAAAGCTGAAAGGCACAGAGTTGGAAAGGAAAGGAGCCTTCACCATGATGGGGAGGTGGGAAAGTTAAGGGCAAGTATGAAGAAGCTCTCTAGGCTGAGGGAGCCATCTGTGTTTTCTCTGGCCCGGTTGCTGCAGCACAGCCACTAGGGAATACAGGATTACAGGGGGAAGACAGATGGAAAATGAGAATGGAGTATGAACTGTAATAAAAATAAACAATTAAGACCCTCAGAGGAAGTCCAGCTCAAGATGTCCGTTTATTCAAAGTGGAGAGAGCAAGAGAACAGGTCCTCCTTCCCTCACTGCCCTCCCCCAGCCCCACCTTCCAAATTAACCATAGGGTGATTGCCTTGATCCTAAGATCCTGTGGGACTGGCTGATGGATTTAGAGACAAAATGCTTTTAATGGAGTCTTTCAGATTCAAGGAACAATGAGAATGGTGAGGAATGGAGTATCTGGGCAGCAGTTGGAAGGAGAAAGGCACAAGCAGTACTAAGGATCAGGAGGGAGGAAATGCAAAGGTGGTTGTTAGAATGACCCTTCTCTTCTACAGACAAAAGCATTTTTGTAATTGTTGTGGTATAACAGGATGCTTACAAAAAATAGAACTGAAGTAAATGACATTCTCTTAAGCAGTAAGCCATTAAAGAGAATTTGGAGCAATGATTAAGCACAGAAAGGCCTAGCTTAGGGTACACCAGTCATCATGACTCTACAAAGAGGTCACAGGAAGTTTGTTTCTGGTGGCTGGAAAAAGCTGGGCTGAAATGTACAGGATCTCAGGAAATGTGGGCCCTGACATCTGGCAACTCTCTCAATGCTATTACTCTAGAGCAACAGGTGAAATGTGAGCTTTGCTAAACCACATCCTCTTTCATAAGTGGCTAGCCAATGCACACAGTACATGAACCCAGAAAGAAAAAATTACAGGCAAGTGTCAGGGATTAGAGAACCTAGAATTTTTAATACCAGCCCCATTCTCATTGGAGGAGAGTGGTAAAGGAAGCAGCTACATGATTGATATAGAATCTGGGGAAGAAAGTATTATTTGACAAGAATAAATTGGAAATTTTTTACTTGAGAAAATTTCCAAAGCAAGAGATTTAATATAAATTATAGGCTAGATGCTTTACTATATGTGATCTTAGCCTCATGGAGTTAGGACTATTCCTGCCCACCTATGGATGGGAAAACTAATTCAGGAAGTTAATTAATATGCCCAGAGTCAACCAGAAAGACACAAAAAACTCTGGTTTACTTATTTGGTGACTCTGGGCTGGCTTGAGTTGAGCTGAAAGCAGAGTCCGCCATCAGTTCACCGGGCCGCGCCGCTGTCACTCACAGCGCCTCCTCGTGGCCACGATGGGGAAATATGTTCCTCAGAAGGAGTCAGTGATCAGGAAATGTGAAAGGGATAAAACTGGGGAGTAGGTTTCTGAACCCATAGCACCAACCACAAAAAGCCATGAGTTTTTGGATGGTTTCACCTGGAATAATTGTGACGTATCTTTACCCAAGATCAAAGCAAAGAAAATTAGTTGGGATCAGTGTGATGACCAAGTTAATTATTGTCAAGATTTCAAACAGCACTATGACTAGAAATAGGCTGTCCAAAACAAGTTTATGTCTAGCTCATTTTTTTTGGTCTTGTTTGATATGTTTTCTAAAACAGGTTCCTTACATTCTCAGGCTGATGAAATGGGAAGAGGACATTTTTCCAGCCTCTCTTGCCAGTTCTGAACCTCAGATCAAGTACGTATATTAGATGGAAGAGGCAGGCAGGAGTTAGGCCCACTTGCAGAAGCTGATTCTTGTAACAAGGCATCAAAAATTTAAATGCAGAAAGAAGCAGTGAAGTTAAGAAAGATCCAGGAAGTGTGCTGGGCATAAAATAATACATGTTAACCTGCTTGTATTACATAGGTAATATCTGTCTTGTTATGAAGCCTTCAGAATTGGGCAAATATAAAAAATAGCCAGACACAGTACTGCTTCAGAGCAGAGTTCCCCAGACTCTTTGGCTTTTTAATGTGATATGGGTGGGGCCATCTCTTAAAAAATATAAATTTTGAGGTCATTCTACTGAGGGACTTATACACTATGATACAAAATATGGTGACTATTTAAATTTTTATAATTTATTACAATGAAAGATACATTGCCATTAAGTCCCCTCAAAATACTGTCCTTTTTTTTTGAGCCACATGAGAGTTTATTTTTATGTGAGCTGTATCATACAAGCTAAAGAAGTTATTTTTCCCACAAGTCTCAGACTGTATTTCAACTACTGTTTACCTAAAAAGTGAACAAATGTAATAGAAGAAGTAAAGTCCAGTAGTGCAGAAAAACTGACAGAGCCTGTATTGCTGATTGCTGTTAGATGCTCATCTCCCTGGATAATCCTACAAGTGCCTGGAATGTTTTAAATGCATGGCAAATATATCAATGTAATTTTCATTTCAGTCTGGTTGTCTTAGGAAATCTATGGAGAAAGAAGTATTTACTTCTTAAGTCAGGCTCAAAAATACTCTCCTTTCCTTTGAACACACTTATCCCATCATTTTTTTTGCTACTTTCTGAAGCAGTTCTGGAAGTCCTCTTTTGTTCTCTCTCTCTTGCATGGTATTGCCTTGCAGGAGATTGAGACCCACCACCAGGGTCCTGGATATACCTTCATGTCCTGAATAGATATATGTTTACTTTTCATGATCACTTTAACTTTTGGGACGATCCAGAAGTTGCATAGTGTCAGATCCAGTTAATATGGTAGATGAGGACACACCATAATTATTTTTACAAATCTGACTCCTTGTTGGATAGCATATGGCACCAGCATTCACCACATGTGATCACACCTCATAAAGACACTCATGAAGGAGGACTTCCAGACCTACTTCAGAAAGTGGCATGAATGATGGGACCAGTGTGTTCAAGGGAAGAAGAAGTATTTTGAGGGTATTAATGTATGTATTAATTAATGGTGATATGTATATTACTATAAAAATTTTTAAAAATTTAAACATACACTGTAGTTTTTGATTCACCCTTTACTTGACAAGTCCTGGGACTGTATGTTTTTTAATAAGCTCCTCGTGTGACTTAAACCATCAGGGCAATTTGGAGAAACATGGGTTTTACCTGGTGACTTCCAAAATAAATTAATCATCAGAATTCCCTGAGCATCTTAAATATTCAGATTATGGGCTGTCTCCTGGCATAATTCTGATACAAACACATGGACAGGCAAACTCTAAAACTTTGGTTTCCAATTTTTTAAAACATCACAGTGTCTAGCATATGGTGAATACTAAGTAATACTTATTAAGCAATAACTCCTTCCTTCAGATACATTTTCACTAAGTCAAAAAGTAAAACCAGTCATTAGGAGTGCTTTGATCCAAGTTGGAAATCAGCCCAGAGCTCTGGCAGCTTAAAATCACTTTGCTTCCTGAGAGTCACTCCTGGATACTTTGGTGGGTGCTGGTGGCTCTTCAGATCAGCCCAAATACCACTGCTCAATGCCATTCTTCCAAGAAAAGAAAGCAGAAAAATAGTGCTAAAAGAAGAATCAATCTGGTGTTGAGAATTTTCTAGATACAAACAGAGCAGAAGTGAGATTGAGTCTCAGTAGTGACCTAACAATAGACCACTGATCCTAAAAGGAAATGACACAGGAAAGAGGAGAAGCAGGTTTACACTATCACTCAGGATTTTAATTGGGCCATTAGACTCTTCTAGCCATCTATCACGGGAAGAAGCTAATGCTAGATTTGACATTTTAAAAAGAGCTGGTAGAATCTGAAAAGGTTATATGATGTATCATTCCAACTGCATGACACCAGAAAAGGTAAATCTAGGTAGACAGGAAAAAAGATCAGTGACTCCCAGGGTCGGGGATGCCAAGGGATGAAAAGGTGGGCCACAGAAGATTTTTAAAGCAGTGAAATCCCCTGTGTGACACCACAGTAGTGGATATACCTCATTATATATTTGTCCCAACCCAAGAATGTACAATGGCAAGAGTGAGACTGTTGGCTCTGAGTAATAATGATGTGTCA